GATGTGCGTGCGTGCGTACATGTACAAGTATATGTTTATATAAATATATGTATATATTTATGTATAGAAATATTATATATATATGTGTGTGTGTGTGCGTGCGTGTGTGTGTGTGTGTGTGTTTGTTCCTGTTTGCGGGGGTTTTTTTATGTATTTTTTAAATTTTTGTATTCATGTATTATTGTGTATAATTGAATGTATATGTATGATGTGCCTTCAAGACAACTTCTGCCTGATTGCCCAGTGCTTGGGCGTCGTAGCCAGAGGTGTTAGAGTAGCATCTAGGATTTAGCTGCAGCTCGTCAAGTGAAGTCGTTCGCTGTGACACACGGGATCCATTCGTAGCCTTCTTACTCTACTCCTCTGTTGTTCAACAGGTTGGAGGTGGCAAAAATCAAGCGACGAGGATCCCTCAGACACAACTAACCACAGCACCGACTCGAACTCGAACCCGAACTCTGACGGGACAGAGAATGGTATATCTGTACCATCCAGTCCACATACACGTTCAAACGCATATTCACCACCACACAAATACAAAGAGCCACATATACTCTCACCTAGAAGCTCCTCGGAGAACGAGAGGTATAGGCAAGTGATATCGTGTTTCAGAGACGCGCCAACATCTCCATACTCCATACACGCGATAGCATATGAGGGCGTTGCGCTGGACAAGCATATAGGCCAGTGGTTTGGTCCAACTACGGTAGCACAGGCGATAAGGAGGCTGTGTGAGCACGAACAGTTGAAGCCGCTGCATGCGCATGCACACGCGGCGGAGGAGGAGCCCGTGTCTAAGCCGATCCCACTGCAGCACACGACGTCAATAGGTATACTCACTTCACCTGATGTGCACAAATCGTGGTTATGTATTCGACGCCTTTTATTTAGGGGTGGATCTGCCTATAAGTTGTGTGTGCTGATGGGCAATATTGATTGTTTGCATGTGAAGAACGTTCGTGTGCTTGTTACTTGTGAACTTACTCTTCCATCTACAGATACAATAAGTATATTTGTACACAAATGTATGTTATGTTCAACATATTTGACGAAACTCGTATAAACTTTCTCAGTTGTACATGGTTTCGCTATGTACATTCAAATCTAAACGCGAGTACACTAACAAGGTTATGATTGCAATGAATTCCAGGCAGTGACAGCATTGGGATAGCTATAGGAGGCAAGGAGGAAGGTCTGACGATAGCCACCTACATTGCTATGGACGGTGTGGTGGGCAAAGATGATATGGATATCGCCTTGTATTCATACATTGAGCGCAAACAGAAAGCTCACGTGGCTGCAACAGCGCAACGGCGGGCTAAAAAGGCTAAGATAGTGCTCCAAAAAGACGGTCAAAGAGGCGTCTCGAAGGCATGTAGGAGTTACAATGCAACTGAACCTCGTGCGAGAAGTAAAAGCAGGGAGGCTGGTGAAGCAGTTCAAAATGCAAAAGACATGGGTTCAGCTGGGAACAGAGATGAGATTTATAGTTGCGGAGAGTCAAACGAGGTGAAACACGGTTTGAGGGATGACTGGGACGGTTTAGACGTTACGGACACGGACATACACAACATGGATACACACCAACAATCACACGCTCAAGCCGACAGGGCTGCGAGCAAGGACATCAGTACACACACAGAGATACATTACGATTTGAAGAACCCGGCAGATGGTTATAGTAATAGACACACTAAGGCTCAGACCAACACAGGGTTGGGAAGCGCAAAGAATAGGATAGAAGACAGATATAAGGAGGATATAGATGGGGAAGGGGGGTATGTCCTGGCGGAGGGTGTGCGTACCCCAGAAGCCGACCGCGATGCTGGACTGGTTGAGGGTGGACTGGTACCTGTGGGGAATGTAGGAAAGGATTACGATGTGATCTCACTGGATAAGAGTTTAAGTGTAAACAGGACGCTACAGGGTATGAGTATAAGTGAGAAGACAGATGAAGACACAGACAGTGATGAGTGTATAGATACGCCTGTGCACAGGCACGGGCGTGAAGGGGAAACGGAGGATAAGTCACGGACGCACGAGGAGGAACAAGAAGGTGTGAGATATTCGTATGTTCTGGTTGGCGTTTTCAATAGTTGGAGGGCACGTTGTTGATGCAAGGTCCATTCAAGGGAGGGTCTGTCTAATTAGAAACGAAATTGAAGGTACAAGGTTGCTCCCAGATCCCATATACAACCCGACGAACCAACTACTGCTATGAGTATATCTAGGCGTCGAGTTTTCCTGTGAATGTAATTTTTTCGTCTGATGACATATTATATTGCTTGTATGACAGAGCAAGCGTGCATTGTATTCAAAAATGCCTCTCCATTTTATAACTTGGAACTCACTTTGCAGAACTCGACAATACACCGCTCTTGCTGATGATACCTCTCCGTCTGGGTCTCGACTACATCAATACTTGCTATATCCATCAGTTGAAGGTACATATTGACTCAAGACTGTATGTACATACTGTCCAGCCCAACCACAACATTTGAGGCTAGTATCTGTGACAAGGCTTGCCGCAAGTGCTTTGTAGCTGGTTGATGGTTGTACATATCGAATGTATGTTCGTGTACCGCAAATGTTGAGTAGTGCAGTTGTCGTTGCAAAATAGTTGTGTATTCGTGCAAAATGTACGTAAAATATACCACATGCTGATATATATTTTTGAAAAATCGTCATGACGATACCCTTCGTGCCCATGGCATACCAGACATTGTGAGATGGAATTTCATTCTCAACCTTTCGAAAGCTGGCATTGACCTGGCATGGTCAGAGATTATGTTTCTAACTATGTATCCATGTCGTCACTACGTCACCGTCACGGAGTTATACACTGCATGTATATGGAGTAGGGCTAACGCCGCAGGCTGGAGGTCTTATATTTAACTCTCTAAGCCAATCTTCGCCGTGCAGAAAGTCCTGATGATGCCGAGTTCAACTGGTTTTATTGGCGGCAAGCCTAATTCAGCCTACTATTTTATTGGTTACAAAGGTATCTAAGGCTCTATGTGCGTGGAAAAAAAATGATTTTGGGTCATGGCCAGAAGGCATACCAGAATGGGTGTGGGGCTTTAATTCGTGCGATTTGAAAGTGACCATTGCATTAGTAGGTTTCGAGATAGTTTTAGACATACTCAGTATCGGTTTATACACAAGCATTCGTCTAATTATTATGGCCCAAGGTAAACTTGGAGCTAGTCTTGGCACAGTTGCGTCTGTGGTCTATGCGTTGCACGGTTTCGGACCCATCCACCTTAACTACGCACGCTCCATAACATTGACAATCCCGATCACTATGAACTGCAATAGAGTGTTATAAACAGTTGAGTCGTAGACTCATTTGTTCTAAACCGGGACCAATACCTATCTCTTTGTTATTGTTTTCTATACTCACAGGCAGCGACGTGATATTTATCGATCCCCATTTAACCCAGCCGACAGTCGCCACTCAAGCGAACGGTCGGATAAATACCGAAGTAAGATACTACACGAGTATATTATACGCACGTACCTATATCCATGCAGTATATATATATATTCAAAGGTACATACAGATAGACATCTCTCGCATCACTAATTGACGGGCTATATATATATATATTGTGTATATATATGTCTGTGTCTGTGTGTCTGTGTGTCTGTTTATATGTATCTCATATATATATATATTGTGTATATATATATGTCTGTGTCTGTGTGTCTGTTTATATGTATCATATATATATATATATATATATATATATAAAATGTCTGTGTGGGTGCGTGGGTAGATGCTTGGATGGGTGCGTTTATGTATCTGTTTGTGTATGATTTTATATATATATATATATTTATAATATGTACTATATAATATATAATATAACTATATACATATATATGTGGGTGCGTGCGTGCGTGCGTGCGTTGCG